GTCCGCCCATCCTTACTGCCTGTGGTCTGCCAGTTAGGAAGTTGGAGATCCACTGACACATAGATGAGCTGAGTCCCAGATGCTCCAGCTTGGTGGTGAGTGTGGAGGGAATTATGGTGTTAAATGCAGAGCTGTAGTCTATGAAGAGCATTTTAACATAATTCCCCCTTCTAGTGTCCAAGTGAGTGAGTGATGTGTGGAGGAGATGAGAGATGGCATCGTCTGTGGAACGATTTGGACGGTAAGCGAACTGTAGTGGGTCCAGTGTGTCTGGTAGTGAAGAAATGATGAAGTCTCTGACCAGGCGTTCAAAGCACTTCATCACTACTGAGGTGAGGGCTACAGGGCGATAGTCATTGAGAGAAGCAGGGTGGGGTTTCTTCGGGACAGGAACAATGATGGACTCTTTGAAGCATGTGGGGATCACCGACTGAGATAAAGAGATGTTGAATATCTCAGTGAACACAGGAGCTAGCTGGTATGCGCAGTCTCTGAGGATACGACCTGGGATGCCGTCAATTGGCAGCAAATCACAACAACAGTTGCATCCGGGTATTTTATATTGTATTTTAAAGACCTTATAATGCAGAGAATGTTGGGAAAAGAAAACTCCCCTTTTAACAGGAAAAAAACTCCATAAGAACCAGGCTCAGGGAGGGGTAGCCAACGCAACGGGTTGTGGGTGAGGAGACAGGAAAAAAGACATACTGTGGAAGAGAGCCAGTGATTAATAATAACTAATGGTTAAATGGAGAGCAGTGTATAAACACAGAGTGTGAAAAGATGTGAGTGAAGAAGAATACTCATTGAGTCATGGGAAGGCCCTTGCAGGTCTAGGTCTATTGCAGGGTAACTAAGCGAGGATTCAAGGTCATCAGATTCAACCCCAACTATAATATTTGTCAAAAAAGAATGTTTTACACCTAACCTTAAAAGTAGAGGGAGCGGTCTGTCTCCTGCATCCAAATTGGAAGTGGTTCCAAGCTGATTAAACTAACTCAAGCAGTGAAACACTAGGAAACTAAGACCAGGGACCAGGACAAAAGCATGAACATAACAATACACTCTGACAAAGCACAGTGGAAGACTAGCACAGTATAAACAAAGAGGATGATTAGGAGAATTGGAGACACATGGGAACACAGCTGGAGCAAACTAGTAATAACGAGACAAAAAAACCTGAACACAATGCACACGAGACGATGGCTGTCAAAATAAGACACGAAATAAGTCAAATACAGAGACAAAGACCTAGACTCAAGACACACAAACATGACGCCAGAAGAGAATAACAAACACATGACAAGGCCAAGAGAAAGAGGGGAGAGACAGATACATAGGGAGACAGCAAGAGAGAGAGAGAGAAACAGAGAGTGGGAGCACCAGATATACAAAGGGCAACATTACGGGCTGGGGAGACTAAAGGTAACTGTGAAATGCACTTCACACATGTACACACACGCACAGTTGTTTGTCGCCAGATGCCACGTTTATTTATCGTTTTCATTTGTTATGACCGACCACAGTCTGACAGCTCCGGTCTCAGCTGATTTCCAGTCTCCCCTCCGCTCCTCTCCCGTCTCACTATAAAAGGGAAGGAAACCATGATCAGTCCAAACGCCATCAGCTGTTCTCACCTGCGTCTCCAGCACTGCCCCGTTGAGCTCACTGCACCACTCCTCCCCTGCAGCTGCGCCCGGGACCACACCTCCGCCACAGTAACCAAGCACAGGCATGCTGAAGACAGAACACAGAGATAAAGACTAGGAACCACAAGTAAGCCAAGACAACAAGACTGAATTAGAAAAGGAGATCCTAAAAAAAGAGAGACTGAAGAACAGGAGGGGAACGCTAAAGAAAGCTAAACAACCTAAAGTCATATGAATTACACAAGAGATAAATAATACTAACAGAGAATTCATAAGAACAAGGAAACTAAACAATACCAATAGAGACTAGGAAAAATAAATCACTCCTTGAGATCAAAATAATAACGAGTAACAAGAATCAACACTCCATAAATACACAACACTGGGTCAGTGACCCATGACAATCTGACTTTAAAAGCAGGAAATTAGAGGTAATCCCAGTTTTTATGTATTTAAGACATTTCTGCAGTTTACTTAATTAACAGTGCTGAGCGCCTCAGACCCAGGCCTACACACGCACACTGCACAAAGATACATCTTTCCATATCCACCCTAACCTCTGAAGCAGATGAACACATTTCCTTTAGAGCCAGCAGTGACCTTAGTGTGTCAGGAAGAATCCCCATTTACATGAACAAATTGAAGTCTGTTAGACATAGGGTTGCCAACTCCCTGAAAAATAAATAAGGGACACCTCGTGGCCAGGGCCGGGCAACCCAGTTGTCTTCACCCTTCCCAGTGTGGTAGCTCTTTTTTTTGTGTGTGAAATAATTTTTTAACCATTTGACTTGAATTTGATTTAAGCAGATGCATATTCTTTGTGATATGACCATATGGGAAACAAATGATCATTCAGCCATTTATTTTTAGCTCAAAATGACAACATTAACACAGTAAAACAGGTCTCCTTCTTAAACAGAAGCCTGTCATGCTTAACTTTTGAGAATATAAGTAAAACTTTCTTTAAAATAACTCTGTCCTGCTTAACTTAAAATTATATAAATTAATAGAAAACAATAGAACAAAATCATTCTTGTAACAGTGCACATATAGTGCATTTAGTACAATTGGCTTCAGTTGAGGTATTATTTCAGCTTTTCTAATGCTAATCAGCTGCTCCTGTTTGTAAACCTGCTTGTTCCCATGATTACGTATCTTAACTCATCATCATTATTCATCTATGTATTACTTTTATGTATTAGTCATCTATTTGTTGTAATCATCTATCCTTGCAGTTGTTTATTACACAAAATAAATTATCACACTTCTGGCCACATAGCGCTGATATTCACTGCACATGCCCATATTAACCTTAACCAGAGGGTTTTAAAAAAACAAACCAATGTTTACATGCCATATCTGCTTCTGCCGTGGCCTGGTGGACAAGAAATTGGTTAAAGGTTCCCCGAGCTTTCACGCCCCTCATGTTCTTCATGTGCCCACCATTAGAAGCATGCCTATGGGAAAAAGTGCGCTGGCACACAGTGCAGTGCGCTTTATAGGTGTTATCGTGCACTTTTCCAGCCAGGTGTTTTCCTTTTCCCATTCCTCCCTGTACTTTTGCAGCCTATTTTTCTTTCTCTGAGGGGAACAAACATTGCTGCTCTAATGCTGCTCTAATGCTGCGCTTACACTGTGCGATTTTTGGCCCATTTTGAGCCGATTTTTGAGTCATGCGACCGATTTGGTGATCTGCCCAATTTTGGCCTTCATTGTGCATCGTTTAGTATACGTGGGGTAACGAGAAGCGATTAACACCTCGAGCAGCTCCCGATCATCAATCGCTCGTGAGGGTGTCACCGCAGCTGCTCACACTGCTCACGCGCAAACATGTAAACGTCGGTGAAAAAGACGGAGCAGCACGGCAGTGCAGCGTGTGATCTGGACACAAGCGATGGAGGCACAACTTGTAGAACTTTGGAAAGCTCATCCGAGCCTTTTCGATGTGGCATCACAAAATTATCACGACCACAACAACTGTGAAAATAGTTGGATCTACATTGCTGCTCAATCACAGCTGCCTGATCAGTGTTTTTCATTAGCAATTTAGCAAAGTTGATGGTGGTGGTGTGCGTGTCTGTGTGAGTGAAAGAGAGGGGGAGCGAGCGACAGATTTTCTGTTATAACCTTCATTTTATGGAGGCACAGTGTGAGCACTCAGGTCGCATCAGAGCATCGGGCCGTATAGTGTGAGACCTGCATCGTGACCTACCAACTTCTAACCCCTGCGAGTCAATCGTGCAGTTTGAAAATCGCACAGTGTCTGCCCAGCTTTAGGTGTACTGTCATCCGAGACTTGCACCGCAGTGTCGGCGTTTGTTTCCCTGTTGGCCATGCTTCTTGTTGTGGTCATCTGTTGACAAATGCTGCAGAGATGAGTCCACTGTTAGAGGCCATAAAAAATTATTTATAACCTTCACTACTACTATTTCTGTACTTTGATAAATTCTGAACCCTGACTCAAATTCTGCAGTAAACCATTCCTTTGCAGATAATCATGTAGCTGTTTTACAATTATTGTTTCAAGATTTTTTTTTTAGATAAAAGAGGGGTTGGAAGATAAAAGGAAGGTTGGATTTGTGTAAATAAATAACCAACAGAGAGCCAAAAGTCCAAAGTCGACATTAGTCAAAAGCACAAGAGGTGAGGGTGACACAAAGCTAAGGTGCTATGAAATAGTATTTGTCCATTTCCCAATTTCTTTTATTTTTGTATTTATTTATTTATTTTTTGCAAATTTGTCAGACTTAATGTTTCAGATGATAAAATTAATTTTTATATAGCAAGGATAACCTGGGAAAATATGAAATTGAGTTTTTAAAAGGTTATTTCATTTATTAAGGCTATCCAAACCTACCTGGCCCTATGTGAAAAGGTAATTGCACACCTTGGTAAATCATGAATTAACTAACCATACCCAGGCCTGATGACTGCCAGACTTAATGAATGAATGTTACGGCCCTGGGCCTTGGAGGGAGTGAGACTGCCTTTTTGGTGTTCATGCAAATCCATGTGTGCCATGACTTGTGTGTGATTGGTTACTGGGAGACCCGTGCCAACCCTCTCTTATGCAGAATGAAGTGTGCCAGACCACACGGACGATTGGCTGCCCGGGGATCCCGTGATGCTCCAAGAGGCAATCAGTGGCTGATCGTGCCCACCTGTGGCTACAAAAGGCTGGAGGTCCTTCACTCAGTGGCTGCTGCTTAGGACTGAACATGCAGTTTGCCCTTCGTGCCTCCCGCGTCGATCTTTGTTGAACTTGTTCATATTGCTGAACTTTGTCAAACCTTGGTGCATGCTTTGAACTCAGCCTGATTAGAGTTTTGAGCTGCTAGCTGGCTGTGAGTAGAATTTTGTGATGCTGGCTTGCCTTAGTTAACCCCTAGCTTTTATTTTGTGTGCTGCCAGCTTGCCTTAGTTAACCTTTAACTTTTACTCTTGACTGTTCTTTCTTTATGTAATAATTGTTTGCCCAGTGGTCTGTTGAACAGCCCTGTCGGTTTTCTGTTTAAAGTTTGTAATTAAAACCTTTTTCTTTACTTGTGTTGCGGGCTCATGTATGTTACTCCTTCCCTGACGCCTAGCAGAGGGGGTTGTAACATAAGTGGCGGCTCGTCCGGGATCCTCCTTTTCCCCATAAGGAGAATTCCCTTTTGTGAAAGAGAGAACGTGTGTTTTGCTCAATTTTGGGATTTTTTTCTTCTTCTGCCCTTTTCCCTGTTTTGAGCGCCATGTCGGCTCCATTTTGTTTAGAGGATTTTTTGAAAGCTCCATCTGTTGTGCTCCTTGAGAGCTGCCGCAAATGCGAATTGCTGAAAATTGCAGAACACCTTAAGCTACAGGTCTCTAAAACACTCCGTAAGAGTGACTTGAAAAAGCGGGTAGTAGACGAGTTGGTGGAGGCTGGTTTAATGCAAGTCCCTGATCTGCCTGAAGTGCCTATGGTCTCTGGTGAGCCTAGTCAAACTTCCTCATTTGAGGGGGACCATAAAGATGGTACGGGTCATGACAGTGTGGGAGATGAGCGGGGGAAGACGCCGCGCACGCTCCCTCGCTATGATCCCCTTTCCTCTGGAAGCTCAGAAGCACGGGACGGGGCCCGGCTAAAGATGCGCTTGGCACGGCTCCAGTTGGAGGCCGAGGAGAAGGCTCAAGCCAGGCGAGCTCAATTACAGCTTGAGATCAGAAAGCTGGAAATAGAGGCAGATAAGACAATGAGGCTGCGTAAGCTGGAGCTGGAGTCTCAGCCACGAGCCTCATCTGTCTCCGCTGATGGTCCAGGTTCTGCCCCCGTGTCTACTACTCCTTATGACATTAGTAAGTGCATTTCTTTAGTGCCTGCATTTAAAGAGGCTGAGGTGGATTCTTATTTTGCAGCATTTCAGCGCATTGCTGGTGCTTTGCGGTGGCCTAGTGAGATCTGGCCCCTTTTATTACAGTGTAAACTGACTGGAAAAGCCCAAGAGGTGGTAGTTGCGCTTCCCTTAAAAGACAGTTTGGAGTATTCTTGTGTTAAATCAGCTGTGTTGCAAGCATATGAATTGGTTCCAGAAGCATACAGGCAGAAATTTCGGCTACAGAGGAAACTTCCCTCCCAAACGTATGTGGAGTTTGCCAGGGAAAAAGGTATCCTCTTTGACAAGTGGTGCTCTGCGTCAAAAGCCAGTGATTATGATTCATTGCATGAATTGATGTTGCTGGAAGACTTTAAAAAGTGTCTTCCAGAGAGTATAGTGTTATACCTGAATGAGCAGAAAGTAACCACTTTAGCAACTGCAGGAGTTCTCGCAGACGAGTATGTGCTCACCCATAAGTCCTATTTTCTGGTTGGAATAGAGATGGGTTATGCTCCTAAACCAGTTCACAAAGTCTATATCAAATCAGAACTCGTTACGGGATTTTTCCCCGTCGCAGTATGCCCAACCTTACCCATAGAGGGGGTTGCCATGTTGCTAGGAAATGATATTGTGGGCGGATTAGTGCGTCCTAGTCTAGAGGTGCTGGATAAGCCCCTCAGTTCTGATGCCCCAGAGATTTCTGTGACCCCAAAGCTGTACCCAGCCTGTGTGGTTACTCATGCCCAAGCACGTAAAGACGGTTACGTTACCCTCGCTGATTCTGTGTTGAGGACCTCATTTTCTGAGGAGGGTGTCGCGTTATCTGAACAAAACAATGTTTTGTCTCCACCAGACTTTGTGAACCCTAAGGAGCCTGGTCCATCTGAAAAAGATATTCCACTGCCTTTGACCCGAGAAAACCTGTCGACAGCTCAGATAGCTGGCAAATCATTAAAGCCATGTTTTAAGCGTGTGGTAAGTGCTGAGCAAGCCAGCCATGAGCAACAAGCCTGTTCCATAGAACAAAATGTGCTAATGCCCTTCGTGCCTCCCGCTTCGATCTTTGTTGAACTTGTTCATATTGCTGAACTTTGTCAAACCTTGGTGCATGTGTAACCACGGTAACTTCTGTCCCTACTAACTGCCAGTCCCTTTATTGTGGCGGGAATGAACCCTGTAGAAGTTCCGGGTCAATCAGCTGCATGTCCCTGCTCCTCTGGCTGCTGTTGTCCCTGTGGTTGGCGTACTTGTGAGATATCGACAAATTTTACACTACAGACCAGTTGACAGCGTGCAATAACCCGGCCGATTCATTCATCTTTACACCACCTCACAATCGACTCAACGGTGAGTTATTTGTTTGTTTTGTTTTGTCACAATCAATGAAAATGCGGAGCCGCGATCGCACATCCTAAAACGCCGGTAAGCTAATGCTAGGCTACCGACAGTAAGTGCAATTATTAGTTTTATTTATTGAATATTGTTTTTGTTTATTCCATTATGACCGAATGTTGACTTAACGTATCTAGAGTTGAACGAGTGATTTGATTTTTGTAGTTTTGTCCGTTTTGGATGTTTTTTGTTACTTCTGATGAAATGCCAAAACGGCCTATGAGATTATTGAATCTGTTGCGCAACACCTGTGGTTAAATGAGTTTTGTAAATATATTTGAGTAACTTTGGATAATGTTTATTAGCTTTATTGCTGATATACTTTGATGGGACCCATGAGAATGTTTTTCTATAATAGTATTTTGAATGAAATTCATTATAAGAGATGATGGTTTATAGAGATTGACAGACCACGTGACTTTCGCGCATTGCATGCCGGGAACTCGTGGCAAAACAATCCAAGCATTTGCAGCACCGCAAAACGTTCATTCTTCGATTCCAATAAATTCTTGCTTTTTCTTTGCCCCCCAAAAAGGAATGTACAAAACGAAGGAGAACAATGCCGGTCCGTACAAAGACAGACTTGATGAAAAGTCAAAGAAAAGATACTAGGAAAAAAATCAAACCAGTGAAAGGGTCAGACCCTTACGAGCACACAGAGGGACAAAATACGTTGGCGTGCTGCCCAACTTTCACCACGCTCATATTTATAATTATACGCTTCTTGGAGTGAGTGCATACACTCGTGAAGTTTAGTAACTTCAGGTCACTGCAACAAGCCCAGGTACAGTCAAAGGAGCTTGCAAAGAAAAGCATCTGGACTTCTTTAAGTTGCTTGAAGACGTTTCACCTCTCATCCGAGAAGCTTCTTCAGTTCTAAGGTCAAATGGTGGAGAGTCCCAGATATAAACCTAGTGGGAGTGACCCCCCACAGAGGGACAAAAGGACCCCCTGATGATCCTCTAATCGCCTGAGCCAAGGTGGGAAACTGGGCGTGGGTCCCAATCAGCCAGAGTTTCGGGTGTGTTCATTGTGAAACCTGGCCCCACCTTATCATGCGAATTCCTGAGGTCAGATGGCCCAGGATGTGAGTGGGCGTTAAGGCGTCTGGGAAGGGATCTCAAAACTGGATTATAGATGGCAGAGAGTTGGTGTCGTAAACCCCCGCCTCTGTTCAAAGATGGTCGCTCACAGTGGACATAGATGGCTTCTTTCACTCCTCTTTCAAACCATCTGTCCTCTCTGTCCAAAATGTGAACATTGGCATCCTCGAAAGAGTGTCCTTTATCCTTAAGATGCAGATGGACTGCTGAGTCTTGTCCTGTGGAGGTGGCTCTTCTGTGTTGTGCCATGCGCTTGTGAAGTGGCTGTTTGGTCTCTCCAATGTAGAGGTCTGAGCATTCCTCGCTGCCCTGTACAGCATACACCACATTGTTAAGTTTGTGTTTTGGAGTTTTGTCTTTCGAGTGAACCAGTTTCTGTCTGAGCGTGTTGCTGGGTCTGAAATACACTGGGATGTCATGCTTGGAGAAAACCCTCCTGAGTTTCTCTGATACGCCGGCTACATAGGGGATGACAATGTTGTTGCGTCTGTCCTTCTTATCCTCCCTCGCTGGTGTCTGGTCTTTTTTCTGTGCCTCTTTGCTGACTTTAAGAACGCCCATTTAGGATAGCCGCACGTTTTGAGTGCTTACTTTACATGTGTGTGTTCCTTCTTTTTCCCTTCAGGCTTAGAGGGAACATGTTCTGCCCGGTAGTGTAGGGTCCGGATTACTCCAAGTTTGTGTTCCAAAAGGTGATGGGAGTCAAAGAGGAGGTACTGGTCCGTGTGTGTGGGCTTCCGGTAAACTTCGATGTTGAGTTTGCCGTTCTCTTCAATGTGCACGGCGCAGTCCAGGAAAGGCAAACAGTTGTCCTTTGTGTCTTCCCTGGTGAACTTGATATTCTTATCCACAGCGTTAATGTGCGCAGTGAAGGATTCCACTTCTTGTGTCTTGATTTTGACCCAGGTGTCGTCCACATATCTGTACCAGTGGCTGGGTACTCTTCCTTTGAAAGAGCCAAGAGCCTTCCTTTCCACTTCCTCCATGTAAAGGTTGGCTACAATAGGTGAGGTCAGTAATTTGCACCAGAGGTACACTTCAACTGTGAGAGACAGAATGTGAAAAAAAAATCCATGAATTCACATGGTAGGATTTGTAAAGAATTTATTCGTAAATTAGGGGGGAAAATAAGTATTTGGTCACCTCGAACAAGGAAAATCTCTGGCTCTCACAGACCTGTAACGTCTTCTTTAAGAAGCTTTTCTGTCCCCCACTCGTTACCTGTATGAATGGCACCTGTTTGAACTCATCATCTGTATAAAAGACACCTGTCCACAGCCTCAAACAGTCAGACTCCAAACTCCGCCATGGCCAAGACCAAAGAGCTTTCGAAGGACACCAGGAAAAGTATTGTAGACCTGCACCAGACTGGGAAGAGTGAATCTACAATAGGCAAGCAGCTTGGTGTGAAAAAATCAACTGTGGGAGCAATCATCAGAAAATGGAAGACATACAAGACCACTGATAATGTCCCTCGATCTGGGGCTCCACGCAAGATCTCATCCCGTGGGGTCAAAATGATCATGAGAACGGTGAGCAAAGATCCCAGAACCACACGGGGGGACCTGGTGAATGACCTGCAGAGAGCTGGGACCAAAGTAACAAAGGTCACCATCAGTAACACACTACAACGGCAGGGAATCAAATCCCGCAGTGCCAGATGTGTTCCGCTGCTGAAGCCAGTGCATGTCCAGGCCCGTCTGAAGTTTGCCAGAGAGCACATGGATGATACAGCAGAGGATTGGGAGAATGTCATGTGGTCAGATGAAACCAAAGTAGAACTTTTTGGTATAAACTCAACTCGTCGTGTTTGGAGGAAGAAGAATACTGAGTTGCATCCCAAGAACACCATACCTACTGTGAAGCATGGGGGTGGAAACATCATGCCATGGGGCTATTTTTCTGCCAAGGGGACAGGACGACTGATCCGTGTTAAGGACAGAATGAATGGGGCCATGTATCGTGAGATTTTGAGCCAAAACCTCCTTCCATCAGTGAGAACTTTGAAGATGAAACGAGGCTGGGTCTTCCAACATGACAATGATCCAAAACACACCGCCCGGGCAACAAAGGAGTGGCTCCGTAAGAAGCATTTGAAAGTCCTGGAGTGGCCTAGCCAGTCTCCAGACCTCAACCCCATAGAAAATCTGTGGCGGGAGTTGAAAGTCCGTGTTGCTCGGCAACAGCCCCAAAACATCACTGCTCTCGAGAAGATCTGCATGGAGGAATGGGCCAAAATACCAGCTACTGTGTGTGCAAACCTGGTAAAGACCTATAGTAAACGTTTGACCTCTGTTATTGCCAACAAAGGTTATGTTACAAAGTATTGAGTTGTATTTTTGTTATTGACCAAATACTTATTTTCCACCCTAATTTACGAATAAATTCTTTACAAATCCTACCATGTGGATTCATGGACTTTTCTTTCACATTCTGTCTCTCACAGTTGAAGTGTACCTCTGGTGCAAATTACTGACCTCTGTCATCATTTTAGGTGGGGGAACTTGCACAATCGGTGGCTGACTAAATACTTTTTTGCCCCACTGTATATGTGTATATATGTATATATATATATATATATATATATATATATATATATATATATATATATGTATATATATATATATATATATATATATGTGTATATATATATGTGTATATATATATATATATATATATATATGTGTGTGTGTGTATATATATGTGTGTGTGTGTGTGTGTGTGTGTATATATGTGTGTGTGTGTGTGTGTGTGTGTGTATATATACACATATATACTAGGGGTGCAACGATATTCGTATCGATATTGAACCATTCGATACAGTGCTTTCGGTTCGGTACGCATATGTATCGAACAATACAAAATTTTTAATTTATTTTATCAACTTTCCTTCTGACGATGCTGTCTGTGTTGAGCGCTCAGTGAATCTGCGTTCGACTACTCCGCCTAGGCTGCACTGTCGAGCCTAGGCGGAGTAGTCGAACGCAGATTCACTGAGCGCTCAACACAGACAGCATCGTCAGAAGGAAGAGCGCAGGGCAAGCTAGCGAGACAGAAGTTAAGCTCTCCTTGCAACATGGACCTCCCCCACCCTCATTCAGATCTGGCGTTTGGAATTATTTTGGTTTTCATGTGACGTATGACCCTGAAGGTAAGCGAGTCATGGACTAAAGTAAAACAGTATGTTGGATGTGCCATGCAATGCTCAATTACATGGGTGGGAACTAGTGTGTTAGCGCAGTTAGCTCGTTAACGTGTTGGCCGTCTAGCCCCATGCACGGGGCGATCGGCGGTAGCTCGTTAACGGAGATTTGCCGTGTTGTGGCGTTAAGGTCATTTCAACGAGATTAACCTGAAAGCACTAGTGGGAACACAACGAATATGACTGCACATTTACACCGACATCATCCTAGTGCAAAGACAAGTGGAAGCAGAAAAAAAACAAGCAAGCATGCCACTAACTTTAGCCGAGTCATTTAGACAGCTGTTAGCACATGATTCTCCTTATATGTTTAATATGCTGCTGAGAATATAGCCCAGAAGAAGCGGATAGTATAGCTTTTATTTTGGAAAGAGACATTTCTCTGTAATAAACTCTCTTTTCCAAACTATAAGGCAAAAAGAAAGTGCAGCTTTATGGTTTCATGGACAAAATAATTTCTGTGGCTGCAATATGACGAGCTAAATAACCAGGGCTGCACATAAGTGGTCCGCAGGTGCGCATTCGCTGTCAAAATAAAAAACACGCACAAGGGCTAGGGTTAAATTTAAAAACTGTACTTTTGAGTTAAAATATATATTTATAATTTTAATAAATGACAAATTAAAAAGGCATGAACATTTTTTTTGTATCGAAAAAATATCGAACCGTGACACCAAAGTATCGAACCGAACCGAACCGTGAATTTTGTGTATCGTTGCACCCCTAGTATGTATGTATGTATATGTATATAAAAGACAGTACACCTGTTTGTTTATTTTCGATTACTTGTATATTTTGGGGGAAAAAAAAAAAAAAGATCATATTGTTCAATATACCTTATATATCTAATACCTAGGCAACAATGTGTATGAGAGAGAGAGAGAGAGAGAGGATTATAAGATCATCTGAGTGTTGGAAGCTACATCATGATATACAAAGCCTGCATTCTATATATAACCATAAATAAAACTTCAACCATCAAAAAAAAAAACAACTCCTCGCAGGTGAGATATTTCAGGCATGTCCTGAGGGGAGGAGGCCCTCGGGCAGACCTAGAATATCCCATCTCTTTAGCTGGCTTAGGCATGACTCAATGTGTGCCAACAAATTAATCAAGGAAACCAATGGATCAACTTGATTTTTTACCCAATAAGTTAGACGCAATGTGTCCTCCGAATGAGCTGGAAGAGGTAGCTGGGTTGAGTTCAGGCCTGACCGACTCATCTCAGACTGTTGCCCCCGTTACTCAAATTCAGACAAGCAGTACAACATAGATGGATGAAAATTGCTTTCTGATGGCTTATGCTGCAAGCTCATCAGCCCTACTTTCAAATCCCAAGGAGGGACAGGCAGTCCCCAATCTCACTACTTTAACTTCAAACACTAAACAGTAAAACCATCCATTCTCCTCCACTTATCCAATTCAGTGTTGCAAGGGTGCTGGGGCCTACCCCAGCAGCTGTAGGATGAGAGACAGGGTACACTATGGTTAGATCGCCAGTCTGTCTCAGGGCTAACACAGACAGACAACCATTTCCATTTACCTTCAGGCCTATGGCCAATTTTGAACCAATTAACCTAATCCAACTATTTCCATGTCTTTGGGCCATGGGAGGAAGCTGAAGTACCCAGAAAAACTTCTCATAGAAAGGCCCAGGCTAGATGGTGGAATCAAACTAAGGACCTTCTTGATGTGAGGCAACAGTGCTAACAACAACGCCACTGGTGGTTACAACTGTCCAACAATGAAAAAGCAAAACTTAAAAATATTCACTAAAAACCCAAAGCTGAAATCTATAACTAAGAATTCAAAACTCAGAACAGAAACGAACAACAGAAACCCTTAGAACCATGCCAGCAAGAGGTGATAGAAAGCCATGCATAATTTCATGAAACTTCCATAGTTGAAAACGGTGAAAAAAACAAAACTTCTGCTGTTTTTGTCTGTTCAGGTGGGACGGCTACAGTGTCCTCTGCTGCTGGTTGTAGGTGAGGATGATCAGAACTGGCCATCCCAAGAGTCTGCATTGGATGTAAGTTTCCTGTCACAACTTCCTATGTAAAGAAGGTGGTTGAAATAAGGTTAGAAATGGGATTAACCCTCTCAAGGCAGGCGTTGCAGATTTGCAACAGTTAAAAACTAACGACCTGATTACCCCACATACATATTTTATGAGGTTTTTTTTACTCAGAAGTACCACTGCAGGACTTGGTTGTGCATTAGCAATAAAAAGTTTAAGTTTAATTTGAGCCTGAGAGGGTTAAAAGAATCTGCATGCATTGCTTTGAACATTCCTCAGCAAACTGCCCTGGTTGATGTAGCACGGACTCCCAACAGAGTAGTAACCACAGACTGGGGCAACCTGTCAACCTCCAGTTGAGGTTCAGGCTTAGGTGTTCTAGGCAATGCCCCAGATCTCCAAGCGATGCTGCAGACATGTGTAAGCCAAAATAGCCTCATGATTGTCATCTCCCTGATAGCCCTTCCTTGTCAGAAAAGTGGAGCTTTCCATTGCTTGAACCCCCCCTTGCTGAGGATGTGTCACCATTGGGGAAAAAAAGTGGTTAATGCCATCACTGATGGCCAACACAGGAACTATAAATGATAACCCTGCATCATTTTATAAACCATCGAAGGGTTTGCCCCCAAGAGTCTCCCAGGACAGCTGATGCCCCAGGGGACACTGGGGCAGCTCCAAGAGTCCCCCAGGACACTGGCCACCCAGGGAGGTAGCAGGAAGAGGCTTGGTCCTGAAATCTTTCAGAAACAGGGAGGAGGCTTTTGTAGCCCCTGGCTCCAACCCTTGTTTTTCTGTGGGCTTTGTTCAGCTTTACCACACGGAGTGCTGCTTCCTATAGCATCGAGCTTGTGTCTGGCTCAGATATAGCAGATGGAACCACAAGTAGTTTAAGTAGACAGCCATGGTTTTCTACCTAAGATAGCCAGAGGGCAGTGCTTTGCTATCCAGAAGGAGGTCATAGCCCTGCTGGTTGCCACTCCCTGCTCCTTCATTACCTTTACCAAAAGTAGAGAGGTTAGGACGTGCTGCATTTCTATGGCATTTCAGATCCATCCCCCAGCAGTTTAGTCACTCGGTACTGGTACATCACTTGCGTTATCCTCCCGTTCCTGGATTGTCAGTTAAATATATAATTGCCTGCAACATCCAATTGGAACAATATTTCACTTCACAAAAATCTCAAAAATATATTTGAAAAAATTCTACTAAATAAAACAGAAAATAAAGCATATAGGGGGTAAAGGGGATCAAAACTATAAAATTCAAATCGAAATTTCTCAGGTTTTTGGTGCATTACATTTGGGATGGGTAATAACTTATTGAAGATCATTAGACATAATTTTGTGAGTTCTCTGGCTAGTAAGTATCAACATGATTTTTTTAGATAAAATGTTTTCAAGTTTGTGTCTGTAAAGAATAAATTATGTGACAACTAAAGGGCTTCACATAAAAAGACACAACAAAACTATTTCAAAAATATAAGAACGTTTTACTTTCATGTTTTCCAGATTAAGGAAATGATGGCACGAGCGGGGAACAGTCATCTGCTCACTGTCCTGTCATACCCAAATGCAGGTCACTTGATCGAACCGCCCTACACACCACATGCCAGATCTAGCACCTTAAAGACCGTTGAAATAGAAGAGAAGGGTAGGTTCACTTTCACACTGCAAGGTTGTAGACTGTCTCAGTTGTTCTTTGAGGACCAGAGGGGTCCACATTTTGGCAGGTTTGAGAAATGAATGTTATTTAAAGTTGATGTTCAGGTAATTTTGTGGCAAGAAAATGATTGTGAAAAAAACTCTGGACTACACATGCAAATTATCAGTAAATTTCTTGCGGTACCAGTTTTGGTAACAGCAGTTTTTTGGGGAGTCCTGATGTCTGTTTTGTTTTTGCAGTGATGTGTCTGTGGGGTGGACAAACGGTGGAACATTCTCGAGCTCAGGAGGATGCCTGGAAAAAGATGGTGGTTTTTCTCAGAGAGAATCTGTATGGTGGCAGAAACCCTACCTCATTTTCTCACCTGTAGTCAAGATGATGACATGAGTTCCAAAGTCAATCCAAGATGAAAATATTTGGCTAAAGACATAGTTAGGTGAGACGACAATGGAAGCTCTTCTGTGGCAATCAGTATATAATGCATTGCTATGAAGATATTGATTATGACCTTTGGATTCAGTTTCAATATTACTTATTAAAAATGTCTTCTTAATAGAAATAGTTAACGGGTGTAATGGCTTTTGTAGTAGGAAGCTGCCACTTCATATGATCATTAAATCATAAACTACTTTTACAGAAAGACAAGCAGAGACAATTGTTCCCCCATACTTACACAAACCAAAATATCTTCCTGCACTATACCGATTTAACAGGATAAACTGGATAAGGTGCACTGCTTTTTGACTGATGAATTCTAAAATGTTTTTACTACTATAATTAAATAAATATCTAATATATTACAAAAAATTATTAGTGAAAATGACAAGTGGTGAAGAAATTTTTCAAACCATTCCTTTAGGAAAAGAAGCAATAAAATACTGAAAGCACATCAGTACACATAAAAATGTACTACTGAAAACTGTGCATTCAGACTGACTATAAGTTTAATTTCCAGCATCAAATTCTATACATCATGTCTGCAGTAGTTGTCCTTTGGGGATCTCTGGAAAAAAGTTGTTTGTGAAAAATAAATATGTTGGCCTGTGTTTGTAAAGTGTATTAAAATGTTAATAACAAATAAAGGCTAAATTAAAAGGTTTGATCATTACATGACATGGTTAACTGTCAATATCTATAGGGACAATTAAAATATGAATGAATGTAGAGTGTAACAAAGTACAAATACACCGTTACTATATTTAAGTAGTTCATAGTTCATCAAGTTCAAGTTCATCAAGTTCATCAAATTTTATTCACCACATGCAGTGGCAGGTTGCCCTGCAGTGAAATGAACCCGCCCCCCGACCTTACACACACAACACAGACATCACATGGGGACACAAGTCAGAGAACGGTTGCATTACAGAAAAACCACTGAAATGTACACTACAATGGGAAAAGTACAAGAGAAAAAAAAGAGACCTCTACTCATGCTGGGCTATATGAGAACAGGAAACAAAAAAACTCCTCTGCACAGAAAGCACATAAATGTCCACAGTACAACATTATAGAGCACGTGACCAGCAACGGGGTTGGGTAGGGGATAAGGAGTAATCCCAGGCAACACAGCAGGCATCCTGCCACTGCGCCGACTCTCCAGCAAACTCTCCCCTCCTCGATTCAGAGATGGTCTTTCCCTTTTCACGTAAATGGCCTCCTTGACTCCACGCTCAAACCAGCGTTCCTCCCTGTCCAAGATGTGTACATCCTCATCATTGAAAGAGTGTCCACGGGCCTGTAGGTGTGAATAGACTGCAGAGTCCTGGCCTGACGAGGTGGCTCTTCTGTGTTGTGCCATCCGCTTTGCCAGAGGTTGTTTTGTTTCCCCGATGTATAAATCCTGACAATCCTCCTGGCATTTAACAGCGTAAACTATGTTACTCTGTGTCGGGGGACCCGATCCTTGGGGTGGACCAATTTTTGGCGCCATGTGTTTTGGGGTTTAAAAGCCACAGAGACCTGGTGTTTAGAAAAAATGTGTCTCAACTGCTCCGATACTCCTGACACACATGGGATCACTACAGGTTTTTGCTTAGGCAGCGGTTGTCCTTTTCTCCTGGATCGGCTGGAGCTTTCTTTTGGTGCCTTCCCAGCTTTGACAAAAGTCCAGCTGGAATAACCACATTTACTCTTCTTGAGGTGCTGTTCTTCTGCTTGCCTGGCCGCTGTGTCTGTGGGGATGGTGTTCACTCGCACGATTTGATATCCTCGTGTCGGTGTTGTTCCCACATCATCATAATAAATGTTGGTTCAAGGTTCAACATTGCAAGTGACCAATCAAATTGTTGTAACGTCATACTTTTGCGACTTTGGAAAAAACCGCCTTAAAAAAAATCTACTTAACTTGCGAGAAACCGCCTCTGTCTGCCAATCCAGCACCGACACGAGGATATCAAATCATTCCTTTTGCACACAGGGCCATGTAGGTTTGGATTTTTTCCCCAATTAATAATAAACACCTTCATTTAGAAACTGCATTTTGTGTTTACTTGTGTTAGCTTTGTCTAATATTTAAATTTGTTTCATGATTGGAAACACTGTAGGAGCAAAACAAGAGCAAAAACTATTGGTCTTGTTTTCAGCAAATGATTGGCATCATCATGTATTGCTTTTTGTCCTGGCAGGCAAAATGAATTGTGGCACACAGAGTTATATTTTATGTCCAGCTAGTTTTGTTGCAGGTAGATTACAACCAAATTCTATACACCATTATGATCATAAAAAAACAAGATGCAGGTGATCATAACAAAAACCTTCCTAAGAGGCTTTTTAGTTATAGTGTTACTTTTTACTCACTGCATTTCATTTCATTAAGAAATCCAGAGATCTGTGTGTTTGTTTGCAAACAGCTGACATTATGTATGTGTTCTTGTAGCAAATAAACACCTCTCCCCCACAACAAACAGCAAAAAAACAAACAAACTGAAGAGAAAACATAAACAAATGTTGTCCTGCATGGAATAATTAAAAATTGGATTTTGTATGTTTTTGTCTGCATGCATTTTGCATTTCGATGCCTGCAGACACACATTTTTAAAACCAGGTTTTAGGTGCCAAGTTTATAACTGTTTCTGGTGGATGAAATGTTTTTTGTTTTTTTTTTAAAATAGCAATACTTAAAAAACAAAAGACAAAACTCCTTTCCTATTTTGAAGTTGTATATATACTTTATCTTCATTTCCATATTTTGTGTTTTGTTCTCTATGAACTCATTTTCTCTTCTCTTTCCACTCAGTCCAGGCCAGTCGGGGCAAATGGCTCCCTCTCTGAGCCTGGTTCTGTTACTTTCTGTTAAGAGGTTCCTTCACACCATCGCCTTCCCACAGTAATAGGATCTAATTGTCTCTTTA